CAGCTGTTCCGCAGGAGAAAGATGAGGCTTTCTGCTCCTGTAAAGATGTACAGCCTCAGAAACCCTGTACAGGGTCGCTATGGGTCGGAACCGACTCCACGGCACATAACCACCACCACCACCAAACTGTGAGAAAATAACATTTCTGTTGTGGTGTGTCTGTAAGGCAGCACAGGTGGTGTGCCGTGGAGTTGTTTCCGAATCATAGCAACCCTGTACAGGGTTTCCGAGGTTGTAAATCTTTATGGGAGCAGAAAGCCTCATCTTTCTCCCACGGAACAGCTGCACTAGAGGAAAGAATTTGGTGCTGGAGGAGTAGGATGCTGCTCTACCAAACACCTAAAACATGGAAGCAGTTTGGGCACTGGGTAATGATGGAGTGGAAGTGTACTAAGGTACCTAACAGTGGAAACCTAAATTGCCTTGAAGAAGCTGTTGGTGGAATTATGGATGTCAGAGGCAATTCCAGCAAGAGCTCAGAAGAAATCAGTGCTGTTACCACTGGAGATGGCTCAGATGCAAAGAAATTGCAGCAGCAGAACCAGGAGACTGCTGCAAGATGGCAGGGGGTGTTGAGCCATGGAGCCTGAGACCCGGAGACCTGCTGAAGCACAACTACCCCAAACCTTGCGTGTGTACAAAAACCCAGTATCTCTGAAATACAATGAAAAGAAATCTGGGGCAGTTCGGCCCTTGGATCACTCCATGGGAGAAAGATGAGGCTTTCACTTTCCACAAAGGTTTACAGCCACAGAAACCCTACACAAGGTCAATATGAGTCAACAGTGGGTGGGTTTTGGCCAGTACCTTTGCAGGTGATTGCATTTTAAATTGGGTTTTCTTTGTTATGTTAACAAAGCTTTACCCTGGAAGGTGTGTCGTATAAACACTCTTTTGGATGATAAAATGTAGAATAACCTCAGGAGCAAGCAAAAAAAAAGGGAGAGTAGATGGCACCTCAAGATGACTTAGGCTCTTCCCCCAGGGGATAAAAAAGACACCAAACTCCTGCCCTAGGGGACTGAGGAGAATTGCTCCCCAGGGGTTCTGAAGCTGTCAACCTCTACTGAAGCAGTCTACCTCAGATTTCTCCCCAAGGATCAGCTGGTGGATTTGAACCACTGGCCTTTAGGCTAGCAGTCTAGTACTCAGGTGCCCTGAGCCATCCCTAAATTCAGGCTGCTAGCCTCCTGAATAAGAAAATAAATTTATGTTCTTTAAAGCCACCTGTTTGTGAAAAATTTGTTACCATAAGAAACTAAAACACCATCTTGGGGTCTCTATTTTGATCAACTGCCGTTTAGTTGAAGTCTTTCTTGATGACTGGCCATCTCAGATGGGACACAAAGGGCAAATGCCTTCTGTGAAATAGATTTAAGTTCCTGGGCCAGTACCGTCCTGGGGTGAGGATTCTAAGCCCAGCCCAGTGAGTCTGCAGGTGCTAAGGATGAGAAGTGTGTTTCTGCTGCTTTATCAGTAACTCGTTTATTTTGTCTGGAAGCTGCTAAGATCTTGTCTTTATCAGCAATTTCACTGAGAGATGCCAAAGGCGTGTCCCTTTCTCTTTCTGGAACCCCACCCATATTTCACATTTTCAGACCAGGGAAAATTCCCATCGTACTTATTCATCTCCAGACCTGCTTATGTTCTCTGGAGGCCTGGCACTTTTGACAGGTCTTCCAGCCACCTAGCCTGTCTCTGCTCTCTAAACTTCCATCTCTGTATCTTGGACCACATTTTGTCTCTTCCCTTGCACCACCTTCTCATCTCCACTTCATGGCTTGGGTTTTCTAAATTTGAACCTCTTTTCTTGGACTGGGCTGGAAATGACATGTGCTCAGGATGTCCTCTTGGTCCCTCTTGTCCCCAAGCCAGTCTCCTGCAAGGTCAGTGAGTTCTAGTCAGAGCACCTTGTCTGACTCCCAACTCTAAAGCCAGTGTCCACCTCCTGCCTACACTGGATTCTCAGGGGCAGCCCACATGATATTCAGGGCAGGAGGGGCTAGACAACAGTGCCATCACCTCAGAGACATCATGGGGTGGAGGGGAGCTCCTGATCCCCACCTAATGATTGCGGTGTCTACGCTTCTTCCTATCCATGCCCTGAACCAGGGAGCACCCCATCTGAAGCCCAAGACAGGTTTGGGGGCTGCATTCCAACCTGGCCATCACCTGAGACTTCAGAGGTGCTATCCATCAAGTGCGGCCCTACCTCAAGGGTGAGGCTTAAAGGTAAACACTGAAACACACACACACCTTCAGCTTTCCCCAGCACCAGAACCAGTCCTCATCCCCAGCCTCCAGTGAGGGGCCCAAACTACAGGGAGCTCCATTCCTGAATGACCTTTAAGGGTAGGGATCCCCTGGAGGGCAGGCTATGAGACACAGTAAGGTCACTGCCCCATGGGCTGGGCTGACCCAGCACCTTGAGGTGATACAGCACCCACTTTCAACCCCAACAACCACCAGGCATGGACCTCAGCTCATAGTGGGCATTGGGCCCTACCTGGCCTGGCCATTGAGGATGGACAGGCAGAGCCCCAAGTGACCTGTGTTGGAGGGACAGGCCTGGCTTTAGGATGAGGTTCCTCCCCCCAAATTCTAGGTTCCCAGGACACTGGACACACCTTTAACATTCTGAGGTTAGACCCCATACTCCCTCTCTGGGCCACTGCTGAGGTGGGTGGAGGAGGGTTTGGGGCCCAGCAGAAACCAGTAGATGTGGGGACAGGACCTAAGGGGAAGTTGGTGGCTGCCGTGGGAGAACGGGGGCTCCCTCCTCACTCTTCAGTTCTGGATTTGGGAGAAATTGCTCACCATTTGCAGAAGTTCTTGGGAGCCAGGCCCAATGTGGTAATAGGCTGAGATACAGTAAGACCTCAGTACACATCTCTTCACTGGACACCCTCCTCCCAACCTGCCCCTTGGTACAGCAGGAAGGAGCGGAGATCTCACAAGCTGAATGGCCAAAGCCACCGTGGGTCACATCTTTTCCCCCAGGGCTCCCTGCAGGGCTTTATTAGATGACCAAACAGGTGAGATAAAGGAGGTCTGAACCAGGTTTGCAAGAGGACCTGTTGGCTACATTAACCCTTGTCTTTCCACAGAGGAGCCCAGGCCCAGACCGGAAAGAGACTTGACTGCTCCCCACCGTAGGTTCACAGAGCCCCGACTCAGGCCCTCCGGGATCACAGCTGCGGCCTCCGAGGAGATGCCATCACGCCAGTGCCACGCGCGAGGAAGCGGGAGGGCTTTCCTATGTGGGCGCTAGCTCCCCTGTCCCCACCCGCGGCGGAGATGCCATCATGTCCGTCCTCCAGCTGCCCGGAATGAGGTAGAGGGGTCTCCCTGAGGCCTCTGCTCCTTCCAGACGGGTGTGGGGGAGGGTGGGGTTGGTCCCTAATGTCTCGAGCCTCCCAGGTTGCTGTTCTGCACCCTAGGCGCAACGAGGCGGGCTCCGGGGGCATCTTTCCTGCATCCTTAATCCGCCAAGTCCGACTCTCAACTCGCATACCCAGGCACCTGGAGCTAGTGCCTGCGCACCCCGAAGGCCTTAAAGACAAGCCCCGTGGACAGGGTGTCACGCAGGCCAAGGGACAAGGGACATAGGCACCCCCATTTTACAGCTGGGACGCCTAACCGGGGGTGGCGCTGAGCCCAGAGCCCGCAGGTGAGTTGGTCTGGCCTCCACGCGCCCCAGCGGGCCGGCCCCTTTCCTTACCCCCGGCGCATCCAGCCAGGAAGTCGAGCGCCATTGCCCGATGCCCGGCGCGGCCGCCTTCCCCTAGTTCTGCACCTCGTCCGGACTGGGTGGCCGTCGGAGCCCCGATTGGTGGTGTTAGGGCTCGGTCCGGCCGCCGCCTCCGTGCGCTGAGCTTTGGGCGCGCCGGGATCGGCGGCGACGGAGGCGGCTCGGTGCGCTACTCCTCGCCGGACTCGGCCCCGCTGCCTCGCTCACTGCCCTCCCGCACACCCGCAGACAGCGGTCCCTCACCTCGGGCCGGGCCGGCGCGGCCCCAGCGGGCACGCAGCGCAGCCAATGGGCGGGCAGGGCAAGGACAACACCCCGGGCTCTGTGCCCCGCTGCCGCGCCTCATTGGCTGGGCTCGCGCGGAGTGGGCGGAGCTCCGGCGACGTGGCTGGTGGGCGGGTAGGCGGGGGAGGTGCAGCGGCGCAGCAAACAAAGAGTGTGCTTAGTGCGCCCGCCCGCGCCGGCCCGGGCGGGAGAGGTAGCTCCGAGCTAAGCGGCGGACGGTGTGGCCCGAAGTCCGCTTATGAGCGTGGTCGGTGCGGGCCCGGAAACGCCCGCGTGCGCCTTGCGGGGCCGGCTGGGCTGGGCTGGGCTGGGCTGGAACGGCGCTCTCTCCAATGGGTCCGGGAGCCCGAGATCCGGTTGCAGATCCCGACACCGTCGCTGGGCCTCAAGTGTCCTGACCTGTAGAATGGGGCCACGTGCCACGGTAACGGGCACGAAGCTCGAGAATCCCGGAGGTTGCAAGCACGATTCGTCATAAAACTCCTTGGCAGCGAACAACACTCCGGAAGGATGCGGGGGCCTGGGAAGGCTTTGGAGTCAGGGAATTTCTAGGTGGAGGTGGAGAGCTGCAAAGCCGAATTGGCATGCAGGCGCGACCCTGTGGGAGAGGGTGGCCAGCGGACACCGGGAAGGGGCTTCGGCTGGAAGTGGTCCCCACGACAATGACAAGAGGGAGAGCTGGACTCCGGGTAACCGTGGGGACTGGGCTCAGGGGGTGAGGGTAAGGAGGATCCCAGTCTGACCCGGCCTCCCTGGACTCCTTGGCACTGGCCATGATGAGGAACCTCCGGCCTCTGTGAGGGGTCCAGTCAGCATTCGGCATCCTCATTACCACAGAGATCCGTCTGTCCTGGCATGGGACCGGTTCCGAGCAGCCCGAGGACGGTTTCTCCACATTGAAGTCAAGACCACCGCTTGGACAGTGTTTGGAGCGCCCAGTTTTGTTCAGATTTTACCGTTTCTGAAATTGGGATGAGAATTACAGTGATTAGAATGCTCCTGGGCAGGTTAGGAAGATTACATAAAGTTTGGTTGTTGTGAAGTGCAGTAGAGTCGGTTCCCACCCATAGCGACCCTGTATAGGGTTTCCAGGGAGCAGTGGGTACGTTTGAACCATCGACCTTACAGTTCAAACGACTTTGCAGTCCAGCACATTAATCCAGAGCACCAGGAATATATGGCAGTGGTATGTAAACCCAGAAGTATGGTGACCATCTGGGAACCCAACCATCCTTTCTTCTTAAAATCGAATTAGAATATTCACTAAGCAGAGACCCAAAGCCAGGTCTGCTGACCTCCATGAGTCCAGTGTTCATGATGGTGGTTGGGCCCTGAACTAGGGGTCTGGAGTCCTGGGTTTGAAATCACCATCCTCTGATTCAACCCTCAGTGGAAGGGTTAGGGTTAGGAGGAAGGCGGGGCCGGGCAGAGACCCCTGGGCCAGCAGAAGCCCAAACCTGAAATGAGGGCAGACGTTGATTGGGGGTGGGGTGCTCAGGTGTCAGGAGTCCTCCCCAGGGCATGACAGTCAAACTGGACAATTTCTGTGTGGTCAACTCTCCCTAGGATCAGGGTGTCCCTGGGGTTCCCCATGCCTCAAGGGGTAATGCACTAGACCCAGGTGAGTTCCTGGTTTTCATGGTTCGGGAAGAAAATCAAGCTAGAGAATCATTGAGGGAAAAATTCTAAGGAGATGAGGTCAACGTGTGCCTTTACTTTGTTTTTTTAAAGAAAAAGGACATGCCTTAAGTTAAGTCTGTCTTAGAGCTAGTGGCACTGAGCCCTGACTCCCTGATGGTCTTTGGGGAGGGGCCCTGCAGCCTGGTGCATGGTGGGTACTCAGTAATTAAGCTTCCAGAAAGCTCCTTGAATGGCAGCTCTGGTTGGAGGACTCAGGAGACCCAGTAGAGGAGGTGTGAGGTCTCCGGCTAGGACTCTCACGGGAGAAACTTGAAGGTAGGGCAGGTTTAGGGGGACCACCTGAGGCTTGTTGGGTTTAAGAACAAAGACTCATCCAGTATGGGAGTGGGAAAGGGCAGGTCTGGGACAGGTGAATGCCTCCACCAGGGCACCTTGACGTGTTCCTAGCTCATGTCCTCAGTCTCTGCTCAAATGAGCACTTGTTTAGGGAAGTGGAAATGAAGGCAAACCCTGGGAGGGGCTGGTGTCACCAGGAATGAAGACAGTTGACTGTCTCATACCCCTAATGCTGCTGTAATGGAAATGTGAACGGGAATGAATTTTCTCACCTCAGGAGGTTCTGGTAGCATAGTGGTTGTGAATCGGGCTGCTAACTTCAGGGACAGCAGTTTGAAACTACCAACTGTTCCACGGGAGAAAGATGAGGCTTTCTGCTCCTGTAAAGAGTTACAGCCTCGGAAACCCTGTACAGGGTCGCTATGAGTCAGAACTGACTCCACGGCACATAACCACCACACCACTAGGAGGTTAGAAGTCTGAATTCAGGGTGCTGTTGGCTGTAGAGTTAACTCCTTGTCTCAGCTTCCCTAGAGTTCTTGGTGGTTGGTCCTTGGAGATTTCCACATGGCATCTCTCTTTTCCCCATTGTGCTCATCTCTCTGTCTCATATCTCCAGAGTCATTAAGGGTTCAGGTACCTCCTACACTGCTATTGCCTTATTAGCATAACAAAGAAACCCCTATTCTCAAATGGGATTACATCCCATTTAAATAACAATAATTTTTAAAATAATATTTTTACATAATAATAGATAATAATAATAAACCCAAACCCATTGTCTTGGAGGAAATTCTAGCTCATAATCACCCTATACCAAAACAAAAAACACCCCACTGTCTTTGAGTCAATTCTGATTAATAGCAATCCTACAGGACAAAATAGAACTTTATAGGGAATAGGATTTACAACAAATATTTTGGGGCGGGGAACACAGTTTAGTTCATAACAGTGACTGACTAACCGTTTTAAAACCTTGTCCTGCCTGGAAACCACATCTCCTAAAATAAGGGAATGTTATTGGTTGGCTGTCAAAGTGTACGGGTTTTCATTGGAAGCCTGGAGACCAATCGGACACCTGACCTTCCAGGGGATTTCACAGCCACTGGGAGAGACCAGCAAGGAGAAGAAAAGTCGAGGCCAAGTACATGAGCACGTGATGCCTGTGTCTTCTCGGAACCCCTGTTACATCAGCATTTTGTCTGTTTCGTTTCATTTCCTGAGGATGGAATTACAGTACAGAATGTACCTTTTCAAAGTCCCCATGTTCCACAGCGCCTCATTTCCCCTACAGGGCTCAAGGGCAGGGCAATAGGAGAGCGGGGGTGGGGGTGGAGGTGGGGGGTGGGGGGTGGTTGGAGGAGGAGGGGCCCTCACAGAGGACTAAGAGTTCAAGCCAGCCCACTGCAAAGCGTCCTGCACTTACGACTTTGTGCAGAGGTAGATCACTGAGAAGCAGATCCTGCCCTCCAAGTGCTGAACTCACTAACAGGAGGCTGTGGTCAGTCACTGTGTGGATGAGAGGCTGGAGTTCAGGGTGCCACGGGGGCAGGGGAAGAGAGACAGCAGGTGTAGTTATAAAAGGGGAACGGCCTGCTGGCGGTCAATTCCTGTTCCTCTTGGAGTAGAATCCAAGCTCCTTGCTGGGTCTGTGAGGCCCAAGGAAATCTGGCTGTGACTTCCTGTATCCTCTGCTCCCCTTGTTCCTTCACGACAGGACCACATTTGGGGATGCTGGTGGAAACTGTCCTTAAGGGCAGACTCAGGAAGGAGAAAGCTTGGTGGCATTTTCCCAACCATTTCCCTTTTAAATCTCAGCTCCTGACTGGGTGACCCTTGGAATCTTCTTTGCCTCAAGTTTATCATTTGTAAAATGGGATCGTGAGGACTCCAGGGTATGGGGCAAGTGAAGGACAGCTCACAGAGCTTAGCACTGCTTTGTTCTTCCAGCGTAAAGTACAATGGCCTTCAACTGTGGTCACCTCAGCAGCAGGCAGGAGCAGGACATAAAATGTCCTCCAGCATTTCCTAAGGGCATCTTCAGCTATAAGAAAGGGTGAGGGAAATGGGACTGATCTCTCTCTGGGGAGGTCCACTAATGCTGTGTGAATCTCCTAGGGCTCACCAACAAGGTGGATCATGTTGTTAGAGGACATCAAGTCAGTTCCGACTCATAGTAGTCTATGTATTTGTACGTTGTTGCTGGTAAGTGCCAGGCTCCCAAATTTCTTGGCTACTCATCTGTCAGGTTGTCATACTGTGGTGGCTTGTGTGTTGCTGTGATGTTGGAAGCTATACCACCGATATTTCAAATTCCAGGAGGATCACGCATGGTGGACAGGTTTCGGTGGAGCATCCAGACAAAGACAGACTAGGAAGAAGGACCTAGGGATCTATTTCTGAAAAACTAGCCAGTGAAAAGCTTACAAATAGTGAGTAGATAGAGGCACAATGATGTTCACAGCACTATTCACAATATCAAAAAGATGGAGATAGCCTAAGTGCCCATCAGAAGAAGAATGGATCAACAAACTTTGGTACATACACACAATGGAATACTATGCAACCTTGAAGAATAACACAGAAGCTGCAAAACAATACACTGCCTGGTCCTGGACCAATCTTAAATGATCGCTACGCTTGAGCCCATTGCGCCTGCTACTGTGCCAATCCATCTTGTTGGCAGTCTACCTCTTTTTGCTGACTCTCGATTGTCCATCTCTTGAAACTGGTCCCTCATGATAATATATCTGAAGTATGAGAGACAAAGTCTGGCCATCCTGGCTTCCAAGGAACATTCTGGCTCTACTTACAACACAGATTTGTTTGTTCTTTTGGCAGTCTGTGGCACTTTCAA